CTTTTGTGAGATGATCATCTTCACTAATGCTTCACATGTAGAGACGAATTGTCTTACTCCAATCAAAATAGTTATTAGACCCATTAAGCTTATGTTCCATAATTTTTGACATTACAGGAACCATATAAGTTATAGGCTTATCAGCCATGGTAAGAAGACGAAAAATTGATCTTAACACAAATAGCCAACACAACTTACAGATGAAAATCAACAAACTGACCTCAACACAAATAGCCAACAAAACTCTTCAAAGAACGAAATTTGATACCAACAGAAATCAACAAAACTGATCTGACCTGGTTGAGATACTGAGGAACTGATCACACAAACTAGCTGAAAATATCAAGACGAAGCCGGGAAGGGTGATCGGAGCACTATCCTCCGTCACACGCGTCCCCACGTGTCGGCACGTGAATACTGCCGCAGATGAAAAAAGTGGTTCGTGAGACTCACGCGCTGCTCCTCCGGTGACCTGACTTCAGGGAATGGTCGATCGGCAGGAGGGGCTTCTTCCTAGGTAGGCGGTGAGAAAAAAAAAGGCCACTCTCTAGGGCGACTCACAAAGAATGCTCACTTGGGAAACGAAATTGAGAAACAACCTAGAATTGCTCTGATACCATGTTATAAACAAAGAACTGATTGTAATTTTCTTATATCTGTATTGATAAATTATACATCAATATATAGGAAAATAAAGAACTAATCTAGGAAACAAATAATCTAATCTAGGAAATGAATAATCTAACTTCCTATTTTACAGATTTGTTCCTAATATATATTGATTACAATCCTAATATCCTATTATAGATTTATCCACTTAATCATCCAATATCTGTAAGATTTTGCATGATTATCTACAACAAGGTTAAAAACATCCATTGGTGTTGGGGAACCAATACTGTGATTGTGGCTTATGGCAGATCTCCATGGTTCCATTTGTGCATGTTGTCAGTTGTCTTTTACACATGAATATTACCCACTTTGAAGAATATGTAGATGACAAGCTAAGAATTACAACATATACATGCAAACTTATGCAGATATGATTCATCCTGTACTAGACAAGTCCGCTTGGCCATATATGAGTGACAAAAAATTATGGCCTCCGTTCAAGCACGCCAAGTCGAGCAGACCAACAAAGGCAAGAAAGAGAGATCTAACTGAGGAACCCAAAAATAAAAGGGTCTCCACACTTAGGTGTAATATTTGCGAAGGCATGGGTCATAACAAGAGATCTTGTAAGGAAAATCCAGCTATTGTAGATAAAAGGAAAAACCAAAAGGTATTATTAATTTCTTTATTTTGTCTATTTTAATTTTGCTAATTTGCTAATTAATATTGTTTCCCATTTTGGATGTTGTAGAGAACATATTTAGCACTAATGACTACATCAGCCTTAAGAGCCAAGTTTGCAGCGTCCTCAACAAATGTAGCTTCTTCAAGTCAAAACAGTGCTCCACAATCTCACAACACAGGTGGCAACAAGTTCTGAACAGTCTAATGCAAATATATTAAGTTTTAGATAGTCGTTAAGCCAAACATCTAACCTTCATTTTATCATTTAATCACAACTTCTTTAAACATTGGAACTTTGAATTTACAAATGCAATGTAAGAGAAGGTAACTCACTTATGCGTAATTACACTTGAATTTTTATTAAGCTCTCAATTCCACTGTTCAATTGTCTGTCATTGTTTCCTATAAGATTGCATTTTACACTTGTTTTGTTGTATTATTGATATTGAACTCTTTTCTGAGCTTTGAAGATGCCTACGGGTTCTTTTATATGTGTGTGAATGAATTATGTCAATTGCTTCCATGGAGGATGAATTCTGGGTAATCATTATTCGCTGCTAGTTGTAATAGATTGTTGAAAGTTGAAATGTAATGGTTTGTAATTGAATATTTGGAAGATTACATGACAAAAGTTTGAGGTTATACATCTTGCTAGTTTTGTAAATGTGTGGCCTATGAGGAATCTTTTGTTATTGTTTCACGCTGCTTCCTTTTGAACTCCATTACATGACCTCTATCGCTTTTAGGATATGTTCAACTGACTATGGAACATGGTCGGTTTGACTTGTTTTTGTTGGAAACTTTAAGATAGTTGGTTGACACACCTTATGATTTTTGTGTGGATGAATGTGTAAAGCTAGTTAACTATTTTTTTGGAATGGAATTGCTTGTCCAAATTTGTACAGTGAAAATGGCATAAATCCTATTAAGCATATTTGTTCTCAAGTACAAATGTTTCAATGCTCTCTTGGGTTTGTCCTATTTTAAACTCTCCTACTCTGCTGGGTTTGTCCTATCAATGTAATGCTCTTCTTATATCTACATTATAAAAAATAAAATAAAAAAGGCCTGGAAAGATTCTACAACTATAAATATTCTATAGTGTCTGTATTATAAGTTTGTAGAAATTCTAAGAGAAAGTTATTGTTTTAATCTATTTCAGGTCATAACCCTTGGAGATCATCAATGGCTAGCAGTACAAGAAGCATCAGAATTAAAGCCTAATGTTTATTTACCATCTTCGTCACCTAGGACAGATCAAATACGGGTCATATTTTTGCTCTATGTATATATTACTGATCATAGATTTATGATGGTGGCATGTAGGGAGATGGAGACTGAATTGCATTAGATATGTTTAAATGAGAATTATGACAATGATAATGAATTGACTTTGATATTTTTGAATGAGAGTTGTGACAATGACAGTGAAGTGATTTTAACTCCAATGTTGTGTTCTCTCCATTTAAAACCTGCTTGTTTTTTTATCCAGATTGAAGATCTTTGAATTGTCTTCCCCCTTTTTTGGGGTTTTAATTCAACGGATTGAATTGTGATTCTTAAATTTGCACTCTTGTTGGGTTTAAATTGACAAAATTCATTATACAAATGTCAGTTTATTTTGCATCAAACAAAGGGACAAAATGGTAATTTTAGTTGCTTCAAAATTTTAAAATCCCAACGGTTACTGATTAATTTTTAGCATTAGAGACAAATTGGTAATTTAATCTTTACACATAGTTGGAGGTATATTATGAATTACAAGGAATTACACAATTAAAAAGAGGTATATTGGTAATTCACTTTGTTGACATGACATATATTAATAAAATAAAAAAGACTTTTTTTCAGTCAAACAGTTAAGGGTGTTTAAGTCTTTACAGTGAAAACCATTGTATTTAACGGAATTTACAAACGGAACATGACAATTGGATAGTAAATTGATATTTTGAAACTTTTTAGGTGGAAAAGTTCTGAAGGCAAACCTTGGGTGGGAAAAGTTGCTTTACTCTAATGTAATAACAAAACTTTTTCTGAAAGAAACAAAAATGTTCCCACGGTTAGTAGGTAAAGTGCTAGTGAGGTGTCAGAATTTATATTGTTATGGGTTAATAATATTTATGAAATTTTATTTTAACACCTAAAACTTAATTGTAGGCAGATTTTTGTTATTTTAGAAACTTCAAAAAGATTTTTGTTATTTTATCAACTTAGGGGAATTAATGTTGTTAACTAAAAAATAATAATAATCATAAGGGGATTATTTTTTATTTACTAAATCCCACATGGAAAAAAAAACTTATTGGACTTTAAAAAATATATATATATATATTTTCATGGACTAAATGTTAGTAGCTCTCTAGGTTAGAAAAACTCATGTAACAATTAACATGGAGTCTAGGAAAATCTTAGTCATCATAGAATAATGTTTATTTCTATTTGTAGTATTTGTATTGTAATATTCGTTTTCACATTGTGGTCAAGGTTCTTATTCTTTTTTGAAAAAAGCCTGGTATTATCACATATTTAAATGTTTTTTTATTTGATTCCAGACATTTATTTAGGTATCTTTTGAGATGAATGATGCATGTGGCCTTGTGGACCCAACCCACCAAACAAAGTGATTTGCTTGCGTTACTATAACGCAAACTCATTGCTCAAACTCAATATCACCCCAAATTAACAAATTTTAAATCATAATAATGTATTTAATACTTATTTGTCTATGATTTTGCTGATCGATTAAGACAACTTTAAATGACTGTACCATATTATGTTATTGAAAATTTTCTTTCTTATTTATTAGTCCTAATTAATAAGACTTGAAAAGTGGTTCAACATTCAATTTGTTTTATATGAAGGTAATTAAGGTTCAACACTCTTCACCAATCAAAACTCTTTCCAATTAATATTTGTTTTATAAATGTAATTTAATAGAAATTTCAACATAATATATAAATATTAAAATTATCATAATAATCTTCATTAATTAGGAAGACAATAGTAACAAATTCTAAATTATTTGTAGTAATTCATTCATACATCCATAACCATAACCATAGTGTGTGGTTATGCACCACCACTACTAAACTAGTTGTTGATTTAAACACTCCAACTTCTTTTTTTTTTTTTTTTTTTTTACCGGGGATATCCGGGTTAGCTTATGTATACCTCAACTAATCTCCTGAAACCTTATAATTATCGGTTGGAGTGTTCGAGCCAGTTTATACATACCTCAACTAATCCCTTGGGACCTTAGAACTACCGACCGGAGTGTTCGAGTCAGCTTATACGCACCTCAACTAATTCTCTAGGATCTTAGATCTACCAGCCGGGTAAGAGCTCTAATGGTTATCCTCATTAGCAACCGAGTAGGGACTCGAACTCAAGACCTCTTGAGTAATACACCCAAGAGTTCTTATTGAACCACTTTGTCACCCCAAGGTAGTTTGCTCCACCTCTCTCACTCTTTCCATCATCAATTATTGAGAAAACTCTCAAATTACACAAATAATTATGCAATTATATTTATCTTCGATGAAGGATATTTTTGTCATTTTGTTAAAATCATTAGCCTCCTAAAACCTCCGGGTGTAGATGTTTTAAATCCATACCTTTTGGGGTTCCATGTAATTTACCCTAAAGAAATAATATTTACATATATAAAAGGAAAGCACGTCACCCAAACCCACTTGGAAAAAAGATTTATTTGTTGCATACTTGCATTTGCATTCTCTCTTCACCTTATTAAATTCTCTGACTCTCTCTGTTTATTAGAAAACAAAAGAGAGTCGTCAGAGAAAAACAAAAAAAATAAAAAACCCTATTACCGTTTTTTCTCTGCAACAACCGAAACGATTCGATCTCAGCAATGGCTAACAGTAATCTCCCCCGACGAATCATCAAGGTTACGCTCGCTTTGTCACTATTTCGATCGCTTTCTCTATTTCTCAGATCCCTTTCCTTCAAAATAACCCATTCAATTTCGTCAATTGAAGCTTCTATATGAATGATTACTTGTTCTTTCAGTTTTATGCTCTAATTCCGGCCGATTCTCGCTCTTTTTTATTGGTTTGATTGTGTAATATAGGGAGTTTAATTGATTGAGATCTTTGCTGTCGATTGGACGGTGAAATTAGGGTTTTTTGTTGATCATTTTTGTGTTGTGTTTTGAACTTGTTTTTTGTTGATCCAAACAGGAAACTCAACGTCTCCTTAGTGAGCCAGGTGAATACTTGATTACCTCTTATTTTTGAGTTCTGTGCGTTTAGGTTGGTTTGTTTGGGTTTCGGTGAGTTGATTTTGTGGTTTTTGGATACAGCTCCCGGGATAAGTGCTTCACCGTCGGAGGATAATATGCGGTACTTCAATGTCATGATTCTTGGCCCAACACAATCGCCATATGAAGGTAAATTGCCGAGTTGTACATTGCTTTTAATGTCTTAGAATTCTTATGGTTGCTTCGGTTATGTAAAGCTGGAATCCCCATTTGCGTTCCAGAGCTTTGTTCATGAAGACTGTCTATCATAGACTTTGGATGATGACAATTGTTTGAGGAGTTGTGCTTTTAAGTTTCCTCTACTTTCAACATATCTTTCATGGCATTCTATATTAGATTTTACATACTCTGTGCAGTGCTTTTTGGCTGAAGATGTGTGATGAAAGTGGTAGTAAATTTCACTTATTGCTTCTAGTCATTTATTTGGCTTTTGCTTGCACTTTTCATGTTTTTTTATAAAGTAAAGAGATCCAATACTTTTATTTTTATCTAGTAAGATAAATCAATTAGAAAAAGTTCTGTTATTGAGGTATAGCATCTCCAGGTTGCATGTTTCTTTTTTGACCTTTAACTTATTACTTTTGCTCTCTGTACAATATGATGCATTGTTTTCATTTGTTTAGGAGGTGTTTTCAAGTTGGAACTGTTTTTGCCTGAAGAATATCCAATGGCTGCTCCCAAGGTACTTAATTTCATGGGCATTCAATCTATACTGTCACTATCTTACTTTTTTGAAAGGTTTCTATTTCTTATTGTATATGATTTTCTGATTCTCGTATTTATTATGTTATTCAATTTTTTGGTGGTGTGACAAATATGAGGAAACTTGAGAATCGTCTGTGGGATGCCTTTTTGATGATTTTTAAATCAACTCGGAATCCTGTTTGGCCAACACATCTTTGGCTGTAAACTTTTGATACAGCCAAAGAAGTTAATCTTGTGCTTGTCTTCGCATTTACATGGATGCCCAAGGTTGTGATCTAGGTTTTAGATGGACTCTGTCCAGTCTTAAAGTTGTTGGTTTCAATATGTTTTGAAATTAAATCCAATTTCATAATCGAGGACGGCTGGTAGGTATATTGAAATTGGATCTTTTTCTAGTCTCTTCTTGTTGTGGTGGTCTAAGATTGGCTTGTTTTCTTAGGGCACTTGTTCTTTCTTTTTTAAGGATTATTACCCTGTATAGATTCCATCTATTATTACCATGTCATAGCCCTTGAATTTGTGTAGTTTGTAAGGTTTAATTTAGGGTTCATTATATGTTCAATTTTGTGTTTGCCCTAAGACTGTCCACTTTTTTTTTTTTCATAATAATTTTCTTTGTAACAGGTTCGATTCCTCACCAAGATATATCATCCTAACATTGACAAGGTTGGTTGTAGCCTTTTGTGCTTCTGACTCCTTGATTTAGCTAAAGAACTGATGTTAATAATGTCTCTTACCAAATGAAATTTGTAATGTAGCTTGGAAGGATATGCCTTGATATTCTGAAAGACAAGTGGAGTCCAGCTCTCCAGATTCGAACTGTACTTTTGAGGTATTTTGTTCTGTGACTTTGTAATTTGAAATTATTGCTATGTAGGAACCTATTATGTTCTGAATCTACAGCACTGGTTGTTCAGTTTATATGGTGTTTTGGAATGGGGAAAAACTCACCTTGGCATATTGCTAAAGCCTTCACAATATTTTATATTTTTTATGTGTTGAACAACTTTTTGTTATATTTATATTTGCTCTTCTATTTATGTATATAGTTGACTGCCTTCACGATGTGTTGTAATTGTAATTTGAAGTTTATATGTCTTAAGATTAGAATAAACTTAGATTGTTATTTTTTGGCATTGTTATTCTGTTAGCATTCAAGCACTTCTGAGTGCCCCAAATCCCGACGATCCACTCTCTGAGAACATTGCAAAGCACTGGAAAACAAATGAGGCTGAAGCTGTTGAAACAGGTAATGTTGATACGTTTTTGTTGGTAGTTGAAGAAAGGTTTTGATTTGGAATTGGAACTTATATGATATTTTTGTTTGGATATTGCAGCAAAGGAATGGACACGTTTATATGCGAGTGGTGCATGACGAATGACATGGTGGAAAGATTTACTTATCTGAAATAACAATTGTGTAATGTATGCTATTCACTGTCTATTTAAAATGGCAAACTTGGAAGAATTGATGATGATGTTTGAACATTGAGAGTTTGATATTTTAAAAAGCTTCCAGTTACTCTGCCTGTTTCGTCTTTGAATTTGTATGAATAGATTATATATTTCTCCTCTTTAATTCAGAATTTAAGAATTATTTTCTACTATGTAGTTTTATTAGACACAAAAGGAATTGAATTTTGAAATTAAATTTCAGGTCACTTAAATTGGGATCTATGTGATTGTACTATAAGATTTCATTTTTTATTTTGGTTGTGAATGTTAATCATTAATTTTATATCAATGTGACTCATAATGAAGCATTTTATTGTTTGTATTTTAAAGTAGGAAGACAATTATTGAAGTTCACTTTTAAGAAACAGTCAAAATGTCAAATCGCCAAAAGCAAATGAAACCAATAATTCTCACGTGAATTATTGACTAGATATCGGGCATGTTTGGTTTATTATTTTTATCTATATTCTTAATCCTATTTTCCAAATAATGTTTGGCACATTATTCTAGAAATATTATCTTATTTTTTTAATTACTTTTAGACCTCATAAAGTTATTAATTTCATCAAATACACCTTGAAAAAAAGTTTAAAAATTATTAAAAACACCCCTGTGATCCATACTTGCCAGATTTCGGCAACCACCGTTGGTGGTAGTCGGAATCTGTACAATAGCCCATCTGCCGACCAGAAATGATCGGAAGTTCATCGATCTGGCCTTTTTCGGCCAGATCCACCACGGATCTGGCCATGAGAAATGGCCATTATTGAGGTCAACGACGGCCAAATCTTGGCCATCGTTGACCGAAAACGACGGTCATGTCTTTGGCCAAAGATGGCAGTCATTTTGGCCTTTTCCGGTCGTCGCGGCCACAACAGACCGTATATCTAACCTTTTCCGGCCAAATCTGTGGTGGATCTGGCCGGAAAAGGCCATAACGATGCGTTACGACACAGATCCGACCGGTCTGTGTAGTAACACGATTTTCCGGCCAGAGTCCGGCGGTGGTGGCCGGAATTGGGCGCTATAGGTGGTGGGGGTGTTTTTGTCATTTTATATATTAGGGTATTTAATTAAATTAGCAAACCTAAGGGCTTTTTCATAAATTTTTAAATTTTACCTCGTAATACTCCCCTATCCAACTACCCAATATTATTCCCAAAATCCTATCCAAAATAATAAACCAAACGCACCCATCATTGTTTTAAACCCGACCTAGTAAGGCCACCGGGTCCTGGGTTAAACCGGCGGTGATCCAAAAATTTAAAATCTTACTCACTTGAAAATTTTAGTCAGTCCCTATAGGTTTGAAATCTAGAAAATACACCCCTGCAATCTGTTTGGGTTTTGACTTTTCCAGTCAAATTTTTGTTGATTCTAGTAGCCAAAATTCAATCCGACACCACCACCTAAACCACCATCTTCCACTCTTCAAAACCCCTCTTAACTTCGGAACTTGGTAGCACTCTGTCATCGACTGTGACTTGTGTATACCATAGCGATTGAGTTGATTTTTTCGGCCAAATTCTGTCTTATTCCGGTGTCCAAAATTCAACCAAACACCACCAGCATCCACTTTACAAAACCCCTCTAACCCCGAAACTTGATAGCCCCTCGTTCGTCATCCGTGGCTCACATATTTGGTTGAATTTTCTGACCAAATTTCAGCTTTTTCCGACGTCCAAAGTTTAATCGGACACCACCCCTTAAACCACTAGCCTCCACTCTACAAAAGCCTCTAACTTCGACACATGATAGCCTCTCATTTGTCGGCAATCAAATTAAGGATTTTGTGAATAGTGAAAAATGGTAACCCAAACTAAAGAGGCTGTCGAGTCCTAGTTGGGTTAATTAAGAAAATACTCAAGGTTCTAAAACCTGACCCAAGGGGTCGGGTCCTGGTTTGCTTGGTCCAACCGGTTAAATTGGTGATTCAGCAAGTTTGAAATCTTGCAAACACACTCCTAAAAAATACATAACAGTCCCAGCAGGTTTGAAATCTTGTAAATACACCTCTACGATCTGACCCTAATTGATTTTTCTGGCCAAATTCCAATTGATTCTAAAGACCAAAATTCAATTTGACACCACCACCTGAACCACCGTCCTCTGCTACACAAAACCTGTCTAACTCGGAAACTTGGTAACCCCTCATTCGTCGGTCGTGACTCGCAAACACTGTCGCGATTAGGTTGATTTTTTTCGGTCAAATTCTAACCAATTCTAGCGTCCAAAATTCAATCCGACACCACCACTTGAACCACTGGCCTCTACTCTACAAAACTCATCTAACCTCGACACTTGGTAGCCCTCCGTTCGTCGACCATGACTTGCGTATTGGGTTGATTTTTTCAGCTAAAGCCTAATTGATTCCAACGTCCAAAATTCAATCCGACACCACCCCTTAAACCACCAACCTCTGTTTTACAAAACCTCTCTAACCCCGATACTTGATGACCCTCATTCGCCAACGATCAGTTTAGGGATTTAGTGAACAGTTAAAAATTGTAACTCAGATCAAAGAGGACACCAGTCACTGGTCCAACCGGCCAGTCTAGTCTAGTTTTCAAAACACTGAAAATACTAACCTTAATTTTATAAAGACTATTTATTGATGAAATATAAATGATCTCATTATGGAATTTTATTTAGAAAAAATTTAACAAATATAGCGCGTAAAGTTTATTAAATAAACCTTAAGAGTCCTGGAGTGGTTTTACAATAAGAGGTTAAAAGCAGCTGTTTGAAGTAGCTGATTAAGAAAAGAGTAGGAGAGCATCTGGTAAACGTCAATGAACTGTTCAATCAGTACACAATCACAATAACAAAAATACTTCTAATCTCATCACTAAGATTGATCAATATCCTCCACGTTTTGCTTCCATTTTCCCGCTATAGTGAATAACAAAAATGAGTACAAAAGATGATCATACCACTCGACGAGGGACATTGCGATTACATTTTATCACTTGGGTATTCGTTTTAGCAGCTTATACTTGCCAAAAGTATTCCTCCGCTGCCACCTATGGGGAATGAAAAATGATCGATATAAGGCAGGTGAGAGCTCCCGGTCCAGGTAAGGCAGTACTGCAATTGGCTGAAAGTGCATATTATGTTAGTATAATCACAAGGAAAGAGACATGGGAATCTAAGGGACATACAGATGAAGATGGCTGATTTTACCTCCCATTTTGACAAGTCTGTACCACGATATGGGTAAGGACGACTAAGCTCCAGCTCAACAAGGAAAGTACACGCTTCAAGGTCATGGAGCTGCAATTTAGATGGTGGGTTACTTCAAGAAGAAAAAGGCCAGGTACATAACAAGATAAAAAAAACATTCTTTGAGTTATTCTAGAGATGAGTGGTAACTTACATATTGCTCAGGTGATGCCTTGTTCTTATTGTTAAAATATGCTGGTGCTGCAGAAGTCCCACCCAAGGTAGAATTGAATGGGAATGGAAGAAGCCCTCGGAATCCATCATCAATCCATCGAACTTCACCCACATAATCAGGAATGAAAAATGAAGATGGGTAGCGGTGCCACTCACCTCCAACACAAACTACAGAACCTGTTGGTGCATACAGTTCAAAAATTAAGTTAAATGTGTTCCTCTCTAAAATACTCAAACCATAATAAGTGGTTATCTCGCCTATCACACTACAAAAATTTATTGCCAGTTGATAAAATGAAGCTTTCACTTGTTCAATAACTTATGTATAGGGCTTAAAGCTGGCAAAATTTAGTGAAGCACCAGTGATTGGATAAATTACACCTAGACTTCCAAAGGAGAAATCTTGAAATAAATAATCTAAGACATCATAGACAATGAAGCTCTTCAATGTTATTCACAATCAATAAAGTATTTATGCTGTCAAAAAGCTATTTATCATTCGGACTGTAATATACTATTTGGTTATAGGCTATAAGGTTTTTGAAAAGTGTAAGCATTATACTTTATACATATAAGGCTGGTTTCTAATAAGTTGGCATCTCAAGGCCACTCTCCCGCATTTTGAAGAAAATTCAAAATTCTTATTAACGAAAAAATAGCATTCTTGTCAGTAATAAGTTTTTTTCCCAAGTCATTATAAATGCCAACTTTAGCAAACATGTCTACATCATAAAAACAAAGGCACAACAATCTGAACCAAAATATGTAGAAAGCATTTGTATCAGTAGTCTCAACTATCTTGAAGATTTTATGTAACTTTTATATGGATATATTTTTCAACGGGTATACTATTGGGAAAGGGTGAAATATCAGCAACAATAATATAACCCCAGAACAGCCGTTACCTGTGCCTGCATCATCATGGTGCTCTAAAATCTTGTACACCTCTATCGGAGCAGCATAACCATTAATCAGTGAAAATGTACGAGAGTGGGAGGCACATAATATGAGACTAAGAACCAAAGGCCTAAGAATTTTTGCCGACTGCACACCCAACCAACAAAAAAACCGTCAATCAAAGTCCAGCGACATAGATGGACAGGTTATAGGAATATTAAAGGAGCCTACCGTGACCAGGAGAGAATTATCAGCTGGATTATACTTGTCTCGGAAGAGATCAGGAAAGCTCTCAATGACAGCTGAAGCAGCAACACAAACAAGTGGGTATATTGGATAAAGGAACCTGCAATATGCTGCAGGTTAGAGAAAAAAAGGTTTGATAGAAATTAAGTTTTGAGGCAAACTTCTATAATCATGATTCGACCAATATTGAGAAAGGAAGGGTTTATGTCTTTATGATACCAAATGAGAACTCTCTGTCTGGAAACCATGCAATTATTATCACAACCTATGTGATCCAAGACTATCCAAATACTGCTATTCAATTTTAAAATATATTAAGATCATAAAACTATTTCTCACAATTTTTAAAAGTCATTTGATCCCAACCTTTAAAGTGATAAATTATTCAGTAATTAAAGGTCAGCATGGAAGCATATACCAAAAGGCATAACCTACGTGCTGCATGTTCTTGAATGTTTAAAGAGTACAATTAGTCAATATTTCTATAAGCATGATTAATGTCTCATAAACTAACTACTATCTCTTTTAAATTCAAATATTCTACATTGAACTACATATTTAAGTTAAATGGATAAATATGATAATAATTTCATATGTTAATATTTAAAGTTTTAAGATAGAAATTCAAAAATATTATGAAAAGGACACAAAGTTCATCTGATAATTCAAAGTAAAAGGAAACACAATATAGAATTGGAAAATCCATCAGCAACTATCCAGATTCATTTCATTCTCCAAAACGGTTTATAAGATAGTTATAAAATGAAAACAGCAATAAGAAAATAAGCAAGGACATTCTTGGACTACAATCAGATTGATCATACCTTTCTTCCTTGTGTGGTTGCAATGACATAAATGCCAACCAAATATAAAAAGGTGAGACCACAATCAACAGATCTGGGGCATACTTTTTCCTTGCAATCGGCAAAATTGCCAAGAAAAGCAAAGCAAGAATAAAACAAAAGTTAAAATTATTGAACCCATTCCTCAAATAATACAAAGGCCCTTCAGTTCCGTATAAATGGCTCTCACCACCTCCTACGACATTATATACCAACAAATTCAAAATAGATGATGTCCATTTTCCATAGTAGTGATAGTCAACATATACCGAAAGTGCCTGCAAAATTCAATTCTTTAGTGATACTCAATTAACGTGAATTGCAAGAAATAAGACTATGAATTCCAAATCAAGAAAAGCTATACATGTTGAAGCCTAGTGATCAAATTAACTTACAACAACGGCAACAGAGGTGACAGCACCAGCAAGAAATGCTTGCTTGAATCTTCTAATTAAAGAGTATAATACAACTGGCAGAAACGCCAAAATCGAGAACGGCCAGCCAAGCATTACTCCAACAGCTGATACTGCAACAGCCATAGCAGGTTTGTCTAGAAGAAATAATCCAGATGAAAGACTGATGGCATACATTGACAATGAACTAGGTAGGAAACCTGGAATATTACCGCAACAGTCAGGAAACTAGAGAAGTCAGATAAATGGAATATACAGTGTACAGGAATGCTTATTAATAGAATAATTAAGACGTAAACGACAGGCTCACTCACTAGTGCTAGCAAAGAAACAACCACTGGTTAAGCATAGCATCGCCAGAGCATAAGAAGCCAGACGCTTTCCATACTTCCTCGAAAGGGCTACCACCAGAACGGTATCTGCAGCAACAGAAAGGAGACCAAGAAAGAGCCTCACTGCATAGAATACTCTCACCTATAAGGATGAAAAATATGCAGCTATTAAAAAACAGTCTACCATCAAGAAATTGCAGAAGAAAGCTTCAGAATGCAAGAAAAAAATCTTACTTTCTCATCAGCAAACAACCAAGAAGCCGGTCGGCCCACTAATTCATGAAAAAGAAGGTATAAGTATGACCGAAGTGCAAACTGAGAACTGCAGTGAACATATAAAAATGAAAAAATTCTCAATAAACTCTTCCAAAAGTTCAATCTTTAGCAACTATTAGAATGCAGTTGAGATTCCATTTCACAATCAACAATTGTTTTTCTTTATATCCATTCTAGGCGTTAAGCTCCTCGAATTTTTTAAAGTTAAAACTAAAATTTAGAGAAGAACCTAAAAAACATATATATAGAAAAAGAAAATCCTCCTATTCTGAAGAAATTAATATAATTGATTTTACATTACCTGTACTCCCACGTTTGGAAACCGGATTTGTAGAGCAAGTAGTGAAGCGGCTCCCAGTAATTGAAAACCTCATCACAGTCGTGTATGATGTTTGATGTAGCGCTCATGTAGCGTAGCATACCTAGAGCCACCACCGGCAAGAACCACCTGAGTCCCTTGTCCTCGTCTCCGCCGCCGTCCGGTCCCTTCGTCGGCTTATCGTACTTCGTGTACGTGGACGATGATGGCGGAAGATCGGAAGGCTCTGACCGCCTCTGCCGCGTCGTTAGAGACATCAAGCTTTTAAAATGAATTCTAACTGTTTGTGAAAATGATCGTGAGAGTGAGAAACAAAGAGCAAATGGAGCTTTATTGACTCGGTGAACTCACTAAAGAAAGGACGCTCCAGCGTGGAATGATCCGTTGCTTCGACCCGAAGTAATATATGGGTTTTTCACTTTCTTTCTAAACAACTGTCACACCCCTATGTTTTACGACATTTTAAGTGATACTAAAATTTGTATTTATGACTGAAACAACCCTTTTTTTAACCACTGTGTCTCCTATAGTAATAAGAAGTTTCTAAGTAATTAACAAATTCATATGTTTCAAGGATTCCTAATCATGTTTTAATTAATTAACTCAACAAATTATTGCGTTTCAAGGATTATTATAAATTTATTTATTTCCTAATTCATATCAACTTCAAATCACCTCTCCAAAAGCTCTATAAATACTTTCACTCTCCGAAAATTAATGCGTATGAACTTTTCATGATGAGGATAATGAGGACAAAGAGGATGAAGATGAAAGAAGAAGCTCAAATATCATCATCATCAATGGAGAATATTTCAGTACGGAAGTACGTGGAAGTTCGCAGCAAAGAAGACGGGTTTCTGGGCTCGTACTTCGTGGCCAAAGTGGTGGCGAGAGTGGGGAAAGAGCGGCTAAAAGTCGAGTACACGACGCTGGTGTCAGAGGAAGACGAGAACAAGAGACTGCGGGAGGTGGTGCTGGCAAGGGACGTGAGGCCGTGCCCGCCAATAATTGAGGTTGCGGAGTTCCACGAGCTGCAGAAGGTGGACGCGTACGACAGAGAAGGGTGGTGGGTGGGGAGGGTTATTGGCAGAGTCGGCGGCGGAGATGAAAATTATTTTGTTCACTTTGATAGTACTGGGGATAAGCTTGTTTATTCTGGTTCAATGTTGAGAGTTCATCAAGAATGGGAAAATGGAATTTGGGTTCCTTCTGAGAGAAGAGGCTAATTTGCATGGATTTGCATGAATTAATTAACAGTTATAATATTGAATATTGATTATGGATTATTAATTAGGATTAAAGAAATATAGAAATATTTGCAAAAAGAATTCGATTTGTATTCAAATTGCATTAGAAGATTAAAGAACTTTCGTTTCCATTTTTTTTTTTTTTTTTTTTTTAATAAGAGTTTTTATATCTATCATATTTTATTAAAGATTAAAACCTAATATTACAACACTTGCAAATTAAGTTACTTTTCAGTTTAAAATAATTATTCATATTTTACTAAAATATATACTAAGAAGTCAAACATTTTACAATTACTATTGTAATTTACAATCAATTTAGTGTAAATAATAGTTTGTAAATATGATCTTTAATACACTGATGATAAAACACATATATTATTATGAGGGGGTGGATCACTCATCATATATTTTTTTTCTTTTTTCGATGATTGGGTGTATCCGAACCAGCTTACGTGTACTTTAATTAATCTCTTGAAACTGTGAAACTATCGACCGAGTAAGAACTCCAATTGCTACCCCTAAACCGAGGATGCACTCAAACTCATCACTTCTTGAGTAATACACCAAAAAATAACTATTGAATCACTCAACCAACCAAAGGTAATTATCACTTATCATATTTCATACTGTTAACATATGTTCAGATTATGTCAAAAAAAATTAATTAGTGGAAAAATGTTTGAAAAAAAAATTCAACCAAACAAATATTCAAATTTTTACTATTTTAAGATATTATAGAAACATATTTTCAAAAAAAAAAAAATTAGATTTGAAAATAATTCTTTGAAATTATTAAAAGTATTTTTACATTTTAAAAATATTAAGAAGTTTGTAGCACTCTGTACTATCATGAAATTTGTCTAGTAAAAACAGTAATTAGAATTGTAAAGCAACAGCGAAATATATATGAAGGCGCTTTGTCAATTAATTCACACATCACAAATTTGACAAAGAACATCCTGATGGCATTGCTCTTGATCTTCATCTTCATCATCATCAACAACAAAAATAGTGGAAAGAAAACCAGAAGAATCTCACATAACATCACAAAGAGCTATTATATATTAAAAAGGTTCCATGCCACTACTTGTATTATAAAAACATAACAACAGTTTTACTAGGTTTTATAAGAGTTTGTTGCAACTATAACAATGCTGGTGGCTCTGATAGTATTCGAGCACAGCAGCCTGATCGTATAGCTACACGGACTCGCCTCAATTTTCCGGTGCATATAATTATTGGGTATTGCCTCTGTCGAGAAGTAAACAGAAAGAAGAACACAAGAAAAGCTCATTAATGACATCGTTTAACCGGTGTTCTGGAGTCCGGCAGCAATACCCTTCATGGTCAAGATGAGAGTGTCCTCCAAACCAGGGGCGTATTCACTTGATAGATTAAGTTTCACAAGCTCATCACCAGGTTTCGCTGATTCTGATTCCATAATTTCCTTCGAGATATGTGGCCGCACCTTCACGTTGTAGTTTGGATCACGAATTCGTTTCAGTGTGTAGGCTTGGCACACGTTAAGAGTTGTGATGTATGAATCACGCAGCCTCAGTCTTTGCTTCAAGTAGGGATCTCCTTCCAGAAGATCCTTGTGTCCAGCAATCTATACATACAAAAGAAAGAATTAGTTCCAAGTATTTGACAATTATCTTCAAAAACTATGGGGAAACAAGGGAGGCTTCAAACTTTGACAACACGGGGATGGTTCTTTTCTTATAAAACAAAAATAACTCATAGAGGAAACGAATGCGCTACCGAAAATAAAACCAGGTACAGTATCATAAAAGAATAACAAACAAAAAAAAGGGGTCTTCTGTTGGTGTAAATTTACCTGCAGAAGAAGGCTCTTGGTTTCTTCATAGTTGGTCCTCAGCCTCTGTCCGAATGACCATAGGTCTTGAGAAACAAGTAGCTGGTCAAAAAGGGCGGCTATCCCAGGGTTTCCCTTGGCGAACACCATTTCAACCAAATCAATCGTGACTCTAAAGAATGGCCATCCCTTGTACATCGCCTGCAGCATATGAAGATTCCTAACATCCTTCTGAATGACACGTCTGAATGCAGCTCCAAAACCAAGCCACACAGGAAGATGAAATCTTGTTTGTGTCCAGGCAAAGATCCAAGGGATTGCACGGAGAGATTCAATACCACCACTTGGCCTTCGCTTCGATGGACGACTTCCAATGTTCATTCGGCCATACTCCAGCTCTGGTGTAGCCTACAATCATATGCAGAACAGAATTGTTTAATTGATCACAAACATATCATTAATTTGAACAGATTAAAAAGAGACACGTGTGTGTACTTACAAGGCGGAAATATTCAACAAATCTAGGTTCATTGAACACAATGGAGCGGTATTCCTCTGTTGCAACAACAGCCATTTCATCCATCAGGGCACGCCATTCTGGTTTCGGTGAAACTGGGGGATGCATACCATGCTCAAGTGTGGCAGCTGTAAAACGCTGAAGTGTTCTGAAGCACAAGTGTTCTTCCCCAAATGATTGCTCAATAACCTCACCTTGGACAGTAACACGGAGTGAGCCGTGAATTGTATCTGGTGGTTGAGACAATATAGCAAGATGGGTGGGACCACCTCCTCTTCCAACAGTCCCACCACGGCCGTGGAACATAGTTAGTTTGACACCAAAATCCTTAGCAACTTTTATAAGCTCCTCTTGAGCCTTATATAGCTGCCAGGCGGCAGAGAACCGTCCAGCATCTTTACCTGAATCCGAGTACCCAATCATGACTTCTTGCTTACCATTAATCCGGTTTCTGTACCAATCAATTGAGAAGAGCCGAGACAGAGCAGCAGGAGCTGCCTCCAGATCTGCAAGCTTCTCAAAGAGTGGAACAACTCTAAGTGGCTGTTTCACATGACACTCACGCTGTAGGAGTTCAACAGCAAGCACATCAGATGGTGCAGTTGCCATTGATATTATATATGCTCCAAAACTGTCTGCTGGGAGTTCTGCTATGACATGAAATGTGTCCAAAACATCTGCAATTTCTTCAGTTTTAGGAAGATCAGGACCAAACAATGGTCGTTTGCCACTGAGTTCAGCTAAAAGCCATTCCTGTCGGCGTTCTTCAGACCATTCACGGTAGGAACCAATTTCCAAGTGCTTGGTAATGGCATCTAAGACATCAGTGTGGCGATCTGACTCTTGCCTGATATCGAGCCTAACAAGTGACAGTCCAAAGGTGGAAACTTGCCTCAAGAAATCCAGAAGGCTTCCATCAGCAATTGGTCGATCACCACAAGAGCAGAGTGACCTATAACAGAGTTCAAGAGGTTCCAAGAACTACAAAACAAAAAAACTAATTAGTAAAAAGAGACTACGGGAAAGTAGAAAAGAAAAATTCAATTTATGGGTTCATGCTATGATGTCCAAATCAACACTTGAGTATGATCTAAAAACAAAATCATTAATTACATAATCCAACTCAAATAACATTTTTCGCTTTTCTCTTGAAAATTACATTCTTAATGGTTCTTGTTACTCCAGAAAGGAGTTAATCAATCCATTATGCAACGTAACCATGATTACAGATCGACACTGCAAATGGAGGTGGAAATGAATACCTAGTGCCCTATAGATTGACTCACAGGTAGGGCAGAATAACATCAGAAAAAGAGCAAAAACTGTTTACTATTTGATAATAAAACACTTATATGAAGAAAAATGAAGAAGATACCTCGTCAACATTGGTGAATACTCCCTCCTCTGGAATATCAGAGATTCCATGGGCCAATAGCTGACGAGCACGTTCACGTGTCTGATACAGCTTATCCCTCACATCACCAAGAATTACACGATAGGGTTCACTTGGAGGAATTTGTTTCCAGAACTCTGGTAGTGAAATGAACATTAGAAACATTTTGAATACATTTATATCCTAAGAAATAAATTTCTAGAATGAGTCTCTGCTGCACTTACCAATATAGTGCTTTGCATCTCTCCTTGAGGATCTGTGAAGTTCATCAGAACGAACACGAAGCTCATCACTGCAACGCCACATGGACAACTGCAAAGAAAAAACTAATTAAGAAACTTAAAATAATGATGACAACATTATGCAACAAGGATATATGAGTGAAAATCTCACAATTGCAGAAACAAAGCTCCTTAGAAAAGGAAAAAAATCAGAGAAGCGATTAAATACCTCAAACATAAGATCCTCAATTTGGGAGTAGTACAAGTTAGCAGCCATCATTCTTGCCAATAAGCAAACATCCCTTGTGACCTCAGGAGTCACCCTTGGATTACCTGAAATTCATAACATTCAAAAATTAAGCTTTGGAGACAGAGGAAGACAAGAGCTCCTGAACTAGACACCACCCTTCTGATGTTATGCATGCCGTCTTTAATTCGATTACTTTGCTATGAAGTTTGTATCATAAATATTTCCCAATGGAGAAAGATCATACCATCACGATCACCACCCATCCAGGAAGAAAACTGAATAAGTGGGGCATTGTAAGGAACACGCTCATTGATCCCTATGTTTTTCAAAGCTGTATCAACACGGCGCAAGAATTTAGGGACACCCTGCCAGATTGTTTCATGGAAGTAGCTCATCCCTGCCCTCATTTCATCTTGTGGAGTTGGAGGGGTCCTTCGGATTTCATCTGTACGGAATGCAGCTTGAATCTGGAAGAGAAAGAAACATCGAAAAAGATTAATTTTGCAAGGATACTTTGCAATTAGTTAACAAATGCTAGATGCCCGTCTCATACAATTTATTTATTCAAAAGATGTTACCACACAACCAGGTTAACATAACTAAGAAAAAATTAACATCTCAATGCTAGTGAAACATAAAAAAACAAAGAGCTCTTAGCCCACCATGAGGATTATTTTAATTATATTTCTGTTAATAGCCAGCCATTTTATAATTGAAAAGTATACTAAATACGTGATACACAAAATTTACCAGAAGTGATAGTTAATCTAGTATTAAAC